ATATATATATATATATATATATATATATATAGGATTGGGTTTGCATGAGAATGGTGTTTAGTGAAATAAAATGAGAATAATTTGTAGTCATTAGATCGGATGATCTAATGGCTAAAGAAAAGGCAATTTTATACCTTCATTAAGGGCAATATAGTAAATTCAACACACAACCAATGGGACCCCTGCCACCTCATCCATATCACCCATTCCCTATATCTCTTTCACACACAAATACACACACCACCTCAACACTCCACACACACAAAACATACGCACACACGCAATAAACCCATGCACACACACTCTGCACGCAACACACACACACTAATACGCATGTAACACACAGTCACACACACACATACACACACATAACCACACACAATATACACATTCCGGTGACACCCCTCCAATCCGGCGATCGCCAGACCGCCGCCTCCACAACCTACCGCCGCCGCAGCTGCCACCACACCTCGTCATCGTGGGCGTCGCCGACCACCGCTGATTTGGCCTGTAACCGCCGTCCTTGGAGAGCTTCCGGCTTTCATTTTCTCCGTCGTGATCATCGCCACCATCCCCACCGCCAGTATTATTTTTTTCGTTGCCGCCACCCGCCATTCCCATTCACCTTGGACCGCGAACAGGATTCTCGCCATCTATTCAGTCGCATCTCGGTCGATCTGGGTGAGCTCCGGCGTTTGAGATGACGACGTCTGCGACGCGGTTGTCCAGGCCGTCCAGGCCGGAGGCGTTAGGGCTCCGGCACGGCTAGCAAACATCTGAATATTTTTGGGCATGTATTTGAAAATTAAATAGTTTTGAGGGTCTCACTTGCAATTTTCTTAAATGTTGTTTATATTACAATTTAGCCTACAGGACCAAATCTGTAAATATAAAAAATTATAAAAAAATATTATTTTGAATATATTTTTTATACATACATAAATTATGTATTTTTTAACAAAAAAGAATTGTATAAAATATTAATTAAAAATATTAAAATATTAAATATATTACTATACTATAAATAATAATTATTTCAATTATTTATATTAATAAAAATAATAAAATATTATTAAGATAATATAACATATTAATTAGTATAAGACACATTGCATTTAATGACAATATTGCACTTTAACGTAGCATATGTACCGACCGAAATGAATTGGAATATATATGTATATATATTTTTTTGTAAAGTTTTTATGCGTCGGTTCAGTTATTATTTTTTACGGTTCAGTTATATATTTTTTTAATTATTAAGGTTAATTCAATGTACAATTATACACATAATTTATACATGATTTAACTGGGAAGTTATAAATTAGCTAGTGCACTTTATATACATGATACGTTGCACGTTATACTGTAATATGTTGCACCTTATAACACAACATGTTGCACCGTATAAAGTGTTTCATAATATTTCATATATTTCATAATTATAAATACAAAATATCTTTTTCATTAAATAAATCTTTTGGTAAATGCAAAATATTTTTTATTAACATACACATTATTAAAAGTTTCTTAAAATTGAAATGCACGTATCAACCTCGATTAACATACACATTTTATATTTCGGTTCGATTTTTTTTTTTTTTTACATTAAAAAACTCGATTATTTTGGTTTGATGTCTATGTTTTTCTTTAATTTTTTTTTTTTACATTGAAAACTAATTGCATTTTGAATGTGCATTAGTGTCAGACTGATTGCACGTTAATTGTCTTTCGGATTGCACTTTAGCTCTAGACGGATTGCACCTTAGTGAATATCAGATTGCACTATAGCGACTAAACCCGACTGAATTAATTTTTTGTGTTCGAATTTTATGTCGAATCGATTATATGTGCTTTACTTTTAAGATTTTAGTTATTTCAGATCGATGTCATCTTTATTGTTTTACTTATTTAATTTTTGTTTAATAACCGAAATAACCAGACCGACTGAACTATATAAAAATACTATTTTTATATTTTTTTATAAAAAAAATATTATTTTTTTCGATCAAAATAAATAAAATGTAAGATAAAAATATTAAGGTGCACATAACATTAATGTGCAAATTTAATTATCCTAACGTGCAATTTACATAACATTAATGTGAAAGTGTTTAATTTTTTATAAATTATAAATTTGACCCATGGATTGAATTGTAATATATTAAAGTTTATAAAATTGCAATTAAGTACTTTAAACATATCAAATTTTCAAAAAACAAGCCACAAATTCTAAAAATGTAAAATTGATGTATGTGGTCTGCCTCCTGCCGGCAACGGCACGTCGGGATTGTGGCGGCGACAGGCTCAGTGGCGGCGGGTGAGGGACGGATCGTCATGGTGGTGGTTCTTGCCGCCGGCGACTGGCAACTTCTCCTGTGAGGCGGTGACATGGCGGAGATGAAGTGTGTCGGCGAGGTGAAGACGCTATGGCCGGACTGATAGAGGAGGCGATGCGGATGGCGTATGGCGGTGACCTACGATGGGAAGATGATGGCGGACGTCGGACGGCGGATGGCGGAGCCGAGGTGAGAATGTTGTGGCCGGACGGATGAGGCGAAGCGGTCGACTGGTGGTTGAAGAAGGAGGCGAGGTGGAAGTTTGTAGACGGCTGCGATTGTGGTGGCCATCAACGTGAGAGCCTTCGCCGTGAGCTTTGGACAACTTGCTGGACTCGACGGACAGATGGCGGCAGCGGTCTGACTCCGACGGCGACATGATCGGAATCGGTGTGGCGGTGGCGTGCCGGAATCGGTGTGGCAGGCAGTGACCTGTGAGCTTCCGGCGCCGGCGGTGTCGGGGAGAGAAAAGGGAAGATAGAACGGGAGAGAGAGAGAAGAGAGAAGAGAGAGGAGAGAGGAGAGAGTTGTTGCAATGAATATTGGTGGGGCCCACTAGTTTTGATGATGGGTCAAAATTACATATTTGCCCTAAATGTTTATATTTGATTCAATAATGTACAATTATTTACAATTATGCCACTGCGATTTTGATTATTTTTATATAACTTTGACTGCATAAGAGCTATTAATGTTGTAGATCCAATGCTCTAAATTCATTCTTATTTCTTTCATTGTGAATCATTCTCATATAATCCCTTATATATATATATATATACTAGTTGGGTCACGCCGTGCACGCACGGCGGACTCAAATTTAGTCTAAAAATACAGTAAAAATTTGTCATTAGTTGTAAAGATCAGTTTAGTTCATATCCAATTTTTACACTGGTTGTTAACAGAATAAGCTTTAATCATAAAGGGCTCATTACAACTTTATTCTCTTCAAAAATCTGAGTGATAGCATGTTTGATATCTTCCAAAGTAACCTCAAACCTCGTTTTAAGAGGAACAAAACAATCGAAAAAAAAAAAATCAAAGTCTCTGATTAGTTGCAGCTGAAAACTTGTCAAGACTACCCAAAAAAAAATTAAACATGCTCTGACGCAGAAGTTTATGCCTATTTACAAATGGCTGAGGAACCCAAAATATTTATTACAACTATAGAGCAATAGAAACAATTTACCTATGGAAACAATTAGTTATTTTTCACCAAAATTCTCTAAAACCACTTCAAATCAATATTACACAGGAAAACTTATTGATCTTAATGAGTATGAGTATATGTCTTCCAGCCTTTGTATTGTATATATACAGAGAAAATCGGGAAAGGGCTAAACAAAAGTTCAAGATTCAAAATATTTACGTGAAGTAGAACAGCCCAGACATTACCTTTTTTATTCTAACCATATTTAATCTATCATCATTTCCAATGGCTATGACTGCATCCACCACCATAGTGGCAAAAAAACTCCTTTTCGCCACAAGCAATACAAGTTTCACAGAATTATTTTCTTGGCCAAAGTAGAAGTTTGATATACAAAAAACATAAGAATCTCAACCTGGAATTGGTGGAGCACCAAGAACAATGGGCTCACCAGAAACCACCGGATGACTTCTAGTCGGCGGATTAGACATCCAACCAGCAAAAAAAGCCAGGACAAGTGCCGGAGCAGGCTGGTAGGGCTGACCAAATCAAATTATATAGCCACATTAAGAAAAACATGATAAACCCTAACACAAAGCCACTGCCTAGATACAGTAACAAATATCCATAAAACTCACCACATGTGCACCGAGAGGAGGAAGCCACCGGGTTTCAGCACAGCCCTGCCAAGCAAGGGATAATTAACTGGTCCATTTTACTGCCACATGAGTGATCCACGAAGAGGGTTTTGATATCCGGGTTCGGCCTTGGAGTTTTACAAAGTTGGTGCTACCAATTTAAGCTGCAAATGCATATTGCCTCAACTCTCTCTTTGCAATGAAAATGATAATAGCAGCCTCAAGTGGACATTCACCAGACAATTAATATCAAAGCAAAGTCTTGAAATTTACATATAAAAATTGCACATGATATACATCAAAAATAGGCAATGCTACACACGATAACATTTCAAAACAATGATTATTCAGGAACTCTAACTTTTCGCGAAACAGTGGATTAGCCTCGATTAGCTTCTTAAGCTCGTCGAGCATGATAGTTCTTGCGGATTTTGTGTCTCCATACTTTGACAGCCGCTCATATAGTACTCATAAACCAGTCATGTGAAGAAAATACCCGAAAAAGTGAAACTGCCCCTTGATTGGCCATTGTAGGCAGGAACCTGCTTCCTGGCCTCCAATTCAGCCACAACCATTTGAATAAGCATTTTGCTCAGTTTCAATTTTGGCAACCTATAGGGTACAGAAGAAAATATAAAAACATGTTAGTTTAGAAAACATAAAAATTACCATTATTAGTTTATAACTTGCATCCACAACATACTTTGCAAGAAGTACCCTATAGCAGCTATCGAAATCTAATATACTCGAACAATTAAAAATTTAATTCTTCAGTCACCACATGTTTGAACATCATAGATTGGGATTCTTATAAACCTATATATAAATCCAGTGTAAGTACCAAATACTATATTTTAGTGATATATATATCTTCAAATACGAATCAAATATCGCATTTTGGAATATATTAAGGGAAGCTATGACATGAGCTTGATCTTTGATCAAAACATGGTACATGATTGAGTAACATCTTAATGACCAAGCATGGATTTGAACATTTTGTCAAGCCATCGAAATTATCAACCAATTTATCTGTCAGTCACTACTTACCTTGTGATCCTTCTACAATTGTACCGCAGACCCTTGCGACAGAGCAGCGCCTTCGAGTACCCCAAATAAACCTTCATTCCTAACACTGGCGGATCCAGCCTAGTTTGTTGGGGTCACAGGCCCACAACAAACTGAAGATGCTAAAGAACAATTCATGCCAGAGGAGGGCCGAGATGGTGAATTGGGGGAAGGGATTAGGGCATAGTATCGTGGGCCCCCATTACATAAATGTCCTGGATCCGCCGTTGATTCCTAATGACACATTTGATGCTTGCTTAGAAGTTACATAGTTAAGTATTATTTTTTCTTAGAGTCATTAAATTAATTTCTCAGGTATCATCACCAACCCAACTTCCAGCAACAATTTAAATGAATGAGCAGATAATGATTATCAAGTTACCAGCTTAAAAAATAAAAAATAAAAAATAAAAAAGTTACCAACTAAAATCTCGAAAAGAAAAAATGGTTTTACACTAATTAAACTATCCCATTACAGATTACAAAGTGCTTTGAAGTGACTTGTCAAACTAAAATCAGAAAACAAATATTGTGATATTACATTCACAGATATAATATTAAGATTTGATCCAAGAGATTGAAGTTAAGAGATCACCAAGCGGAAAAACTAAAAAAATAATTTTGTGGGACATGTGAACTTCTTACCACTGATCTGATGGAGACCTTTTTCCGAATTAGATCACAGAAATAAAAATTCAGCGATTGAAGGTTCTTCCAATCTTTAAGATAAATTAACAGAGACAGTAACATCTGAACTCGAAACATCAAAAAAAAGTACAGATGAACCCTGTGAAGAGACACCCCCCATCCAACTGTCGTTAACTACGGCCCTGGGTATTCTCCAAAATTAATATCCTGAAACAGAAACAATCATTTCCATAAGAATGTATACCCATTTGAACTCCTCTTTCTGTTAAGCTTTCAACTATACCTGTTGAGCGCAATCCCTAAACGCATATAGTATGGGACATCTAGTAATTGTGAATAGACCAAATCATAAAGTATATGCTGGCTTATATCCCTTGGCAGCATCGAGAAAGTGTTATATTTGTTTAAATCCTCCAATCAAGAAAATTGTTAATTATTTCCCTTGCTATATATTCAAAAAGGAAAGACGTCGATGCTGAAAAATACTTCACAAATTTTGTGAATACACAAATCCATGAGAGATGGAAACTCTTTTCGCCCCGACTGGAGTCCATAGATGCTCTAAACGATGTCCAAAGCCATTTTGAGCTCCCACTTTTAGTATATCTTTTAGTAACCTGTTGATCTCGTTTTTTGGAACAAGATAAAAGTATTATAACCATGCGAAATGTGATTATTCAGTATCAGTATATCCAAAATGGAAAATTTTGATTATTCAGTATCAGTACTGGAACGCATCTCAAAATCACGGTACAGATTATTATCAAATTTTGATCTACCGATCTGCAAGATAAGTCTTGTTACAAACTGGACAAAAACGAAAAAATGTAAGGACTTCGCTCAAGCTTCATCAAGAGCAAGAACACCAGAAAGTATTTTTCCTTCGAGAAGTTCCGGGCTGGCACCTCATTCAGTCGAGATATGGCTCATCTTGTTCGCAAGGCCAACCTTCTCGACAGCAGCAACCGAGTCCCCTCCTCCAATGATAGATGTCAGTTGTCACACCCTTGCCACTGAGAAAATACCCGAAAAAGTGAAACCGCCCCTTGATTGGCCATTCTAGGCAGGAACCTGCTTCCTTCCTGGCCTCCAATTCAGCCACAACCATTTGAATAAGCATTTTGCTCGGCTTCAATTTTGGCAACCTATAAGGTACAGAAGAAAATATAAAAACATGTTAGTCTAGAAAACATAAAAATTATAAATATTAGTCTAGAACTTGCATCCACAACATACTTTGCAAGAACTACCCTATAGCAGCTATCGAAATCTAATATACTCGAACAATTAAAAATTTAATTCTTCAGTCACCACATGTTTGAACATAATAGATTGGAATTCTTATAAACTTATATATAAATCCAGTGTAAGTTCCAAATACTATATTTTAGTGATATATATATCTTCAGATACGAATCCAATATCGCATTTTGGAATATGTTAATTAGAATAAGAAGATTCTTATCTAGTATTTCCCAGTTTTTAGAGTTTCATGTATTCATTCAAATACCAAATTGAGTTAAAAATATAGAATTTTTATAAAGCTACAGTACTGAAAAAATATAACATCCAAACCATGCAAACATGACCGCAATTAGGAGTTCTAGAAGCTTAAGCTCGGATAGAAAAAACTCATACCTAGACATTTCCATGAGGATCTCTCTTGAGCATCAATTGTTCTTGGATTGCAGTGGGCAAAAAATCAAAAGGCTCCAGACACTGAGGGCTAAGCTTCTTTTTTCTAGTGTCCAGCCTCATCCACAACTTCATGAGCCAAATCTCATTTAGTTCTGCAATGAGCTGTGAACCTGCAAATGAAATGAGTAATATAATAAGAAATAAGATATAAGGTAAGAGAGCAACAAAACTATATGAACGGTTTATGTTCGACAAACTATCAATAATTTTGCATCTTCTTGGGATTTATGCAATCACTTCAAAATGCAGAATTTGTTTTTCAATGGACCTTAGTCAGTTGTTGAAGAATGGAAAATTAAGTTCTGAAAGTAAACCCATATGGAGAATTCAAAAGCACAAAGTAAAAAACAGAAACATTACCTCTTGACATTTCCCCCAAAATCTATTGCAAAAAGGGAAAGGAAGATGGTCTTGTGGGGCCAGAAAGCTTCCGAAATGATCAACTGAAGTCGGAGAAGTTGAATATGTTGGGACAAAATCTGAGATATGTTGCCCTAATTTTCTTCATAGCTTTGTCGTGTGCGTGTCGTGACATGCAATCTTCGCGGCCGAGTTGCAAAAGGAGGTAGAGACGTAATTGAAAGAGGGCTAAAGAGGCAATGGGAGGTCTGGGTCAGATACGCCAGCAGCGCGGCGGATGAGCGCTCTGCTTCCAAGGCAGAGGTTTGAGAAAATGAAATAAAACGATTCTTATAGATAGGGTCATTTCTTAAGCCTTAAGAGATGTCACAAAATCAATCGGTAAGGTAGGGCAACGGAATCGTGCGGCACACCAGAATTTCCGGCCTTTCGGACGGCCTTAGGAGTAAGAACGTGGTATGTGGCGTGTAGCAGCAAGAGCGAGATGCTCAGCCACAAAATGCAGAATGAAATGCAACCTCAAGAAATCTAATCAATAAAGAGAGGATGGGACATATACGATAGATTACGCACGTCTACCAAGATTTTGTGCGAGGAAATCCCGCGAGGTAGGCAACAAAGAACTGGAAATTACGCCTTCACCCCTCTAAAAGGCCAATGCAGCAGGCCTTTTTAGTAAAAACACATACCAACTGAGGTGCCATCCAATTGACCAAATCGCCCTTCAAAATTAATGTTTAAGCTTTTTTGGTGGTTGGCAAAAAAAAGGGCACTCAAGTAAATTCTCATATTAATGCCAAATGTCAGCATAAAAAACACGCCACTTGTCGCCATTTGCATGCCACTAACTTCTTCATATATAGATAAGATAAGATATATATATATATATATATATATATAGAGAGAGAGAGAGAGAGAGAGAGAGTTAGGATCATATAAAAATGGTAGATAGTGAAAGAAATAAGAATAATTTTGGACGATTTGATCCAACATATCAATGGTCATGATCAAGTCAATTTTTAAATATGGCAGTCAACCATGAATGGCAATGTAGTAAATATGTGTACAATTCGTGGTCAAAAGTTTGCATTGTTGGGTTCGATAGTACCGTACGGGCTGTACGCAGCGGAATTTAAAATTTTTAAAGTAAGTATTTATCGTATAAATACAACACCCGTACATACTAATTGCGAATTAACTGATCGTCATCTTTAAAACATGCATCATATACAAATTTTGATTTGTTACTATAAAGTAAATACTAGTAAAAATATTTACCGAATGTCTTGAACTCCTTCACTATTGATGATGGATGAGGGAATCGATTCCCGGTTGTAACTTCAACGACTTGAGGTTACTCGCTAGAGGAATCCAAGTGTCTTCCCTCTAAACGTATCCACCCTATGAAGCCCGGTTCCGACAACTTTCCTTCGCTAGTAGAAAAGACTCGGTTTTCTTGTAAAGGAATATTTATGAATTTTATTTGGGAATTTTAAGAATTCTTTCTTGAAGTTTTATGAAGAACACTTTCTTCTCTTTCTAACACTTAGAAATTTAGGATCAAAAACTTCACTTAAATGCAAAACCATTTTGCACATATTTATACTAAACATTTTAGCATAAAATAATCAACATTTAGTAATATTAAATAAAATCAAATTTTATTTAAATAGTATTTACTAACTTTTGACTTTGAAAATAATAAGATATGTTAAGTAGTTCAAACAACCATCAACAACCATTTTATTATAATCATATTTATTATTTTAATCCTTAAATCATATTTAAAGATATAAATAATAATTGGATAATAAATCTTGAGAATCTTTCTCAAGACTTTATTATTATATCATTTTCCCAATATTATAATAATCATATTATTATTATTTTGGATTTTTGAAATTTAAAATCCTATTTTAAAATTCAACTTTATTAATTTAGTAATTACCTTAATTACTAAAGTAATATCCAAAATGTAATTAATCAATCTTATTGATTAATATATTCCTTTAATTGATATCTAATCAAATTAGATATTTATCAATTAATTCTAACCATTAGAAATACAATCTTTACCTTTGTTCATAATTAGTGTGACCTTTTAGGTTCACCTTAATACTAGTAGTGGGTTTACAACACTTTGTAATTTGAGTTAAATCTTATTAACTCTTATTCATGAATTAACCCTTTAATTTATGAACCCACATATCATGGTAACACCTAGCAAGTAGCATGAATCTAGTATTAAGTGAATAGCGAGTAAACCTATTCCGATTACAACTCCATACATGTAAAATCCTTTCGACATCTAATTTCCCGATTAAGTCTTGGGTATGATTTTGTCGAAACCCAAATTGACTTAATAACTATGATTCTATTTCATGTTTATTAACCCGGTTATGAATCACTATTCATCTCTGCCTTGGCCAAGGACTTTGGATTAATAACTATGAAACACATAGGAAATTCACTTATCTTCATAAGTGTCGAATCCTTTATTGGCCACTAACAAACTTCCATACATATTAACATAATACCCAACTTATCCCTTTAAACGATAGTGCTAGCTACCAAAAGGATAAATCAAAGTAGAATGTAATATGCACAAAGTTACCATTGTGCCTCAAGTCTTAGGATTAGTCATGTACTATTGTAACATGAAAATTCTTATTCGACTGAATAAATTCTTCATTAAGAATTTTCATACGGTCATGTTCAGTGAACTTGTTCTCTAACAAGCACCCACATAAATGTACTTACGTCTTACGCTAATGTTGATGGAATGCAACATTCTTGTCCAACAAGCATACAAACTATGTGCAAGTCTTTTATGGATTATTCGATATCCCATCTCGAAACATCCATCGACTTGGAACTGTATTTAAGATCACGGCTTTCAAGGTATGTTCCATGATCACCATCTCTATGCGCAACCATACCTTATAACCATAAGTGATCTAGGGATTTTATCTTAAGTGCAATTATAAGATAAATGCTTTCTCTTAAGATAAAGAAATGCCTTATTCATAATATAATTCCAATAGACTGTATTTACAAGTAGAATACGTCCAATTAGATTGGAACGCCGGGTACCCTACTCTAACAATCTCCCACTTGCCCTAGTTCCAATCACTCATGTATCTAAGACCCATCTTCTCAAGATGTCCTTCGAACACTTTCTGTGATAAGGGTTTAGTTAAGGGGTCTGCTATATTTTCTGCTGAGTCGACTCGCTCCATCACGACATCGCCTCTACCAATGATTTCTCTAATCAAATGGTATCGCCTCATAATGTGTTTGGATTTTTGATGAGATCTTGGCTCCTTTGCTTGCGCAATAGCCCCATTGTTATCACAATAAATCATTATTGGATCAACAACGGATGGTACTACACCCAACCCTTGGATAAAGTTCCTTATCCAAACAGCTTCTTTTGCAGCATCAGATGCAGCAATATATTCAGCCTCTGTCGTAGAGTCAGCAATTGTTTCTTGTTTGGAACTTTTCCAACTAACTGCTGCTCCATTCAGAGTAAATAAGTATCCAGACATGGATTTATAGTCGTCTTTATCGGACTGAAAACCAGAATCAGTAAAGCCTTCTAGTTTCAGTTCTCCATTGCCGTATACCATAAAGATATCCTTAGTCCTTCGTAAGTACTTAAGAATCATCTTAACGGCTTTCCAGTGTTCTTCACCTGGATTAGACTGATATCTGCTCGTTACACTAAGTGCATGAGCCACATCAGGTCTTGTACATAACATTGCATACATAATGCTACCAATAGCTGATGCATAAGGTATATGACTCATCCGTTCTCTTTCTTCAGGTGTCTTTGGAGACATCGTCTTAGAAAGAGAAATCCCATGACTCATTGGAATATATCCTCGTTTGGATTCTTCCATGCTAAACCGTTGTAGCACCTTATTTATGTACGTCGACTGGGATAGTCCGATCATCCGTTTAAATCTATCCCTATAGATTTTTATCCCTAGGATAAAGGATGCTTCTCCCAAGTCTTTCATGGAAAACTGTTTTGACAACCATGTCCTAGTTGACTGCAACATCCCTACATCATTCCCAATGAGTAGGATGTCATCAACATATAGAACAACAAATGTAACTGCACTCCCACTAACCTTCTTATAAACACATGGTTCATCCGGATTCTTATGAAAATCAAACGTTTTGATCGTTTCATCAAACCGAATATTCCAACTCCTCGAAGCTTGTTTAAGTCCATAAATAGACCTTTGAAGTTTACAAACCATTTGTTCACTCCCATTGGATATGAAACCTTGCGGTTGTTTCATATAAATGTCTTCCTTAATATTTCCATTAAGAAAAGCAGTTTTCACATCCATTTGCCATATCTCGTAGTCATAATACGCAGCTATGGCTAGCAATATCCGAATAGATTTAAGCATTGCTACTGGTGAAAAAGTTTCCTCATAATCAACACCTTGTTTTTGAGTATAACCTTTAGCAACCAGTCTTGCTTTAAAAGTATTTACTTCTCCATCTACACCACGTTTTCGCTTGTAAACCCATTTACAACCTATGGGTACAATACCCTGTGGTGGATCAACCAAAGTCCATACTTTGTTTGAATACATGGAATCTATTTCGGATTGCATAGCTTCTTGCCATTTATCTGAGTCAATGTCCAACATTGCCTCATCATAGCTTATTGGATCATTATCCAAAAGGAATCCCTCTTCATTGTCTTTTGACAATAGGTATAGCCTTT